ATTTTTTTAGTGAACGTTCTGAATACTGATTATTATTATGTTTTTGTTTGTATCTACTTCAAACTGGTTTGTTGTTGATCAAGCAATTCATTTAGTATGCAAACGCATAAACTTCCGGGTCATAATTATTAGATATTTTATTTATGATATAAAATAAAATAAACAGTAGCGATCTGCAGACAAATTGTTGATAGTCAGACTCGGGGGCCCAAGATAAGGGGAAGTAATAAAAGATTTACATCTATGTTCTACCCTTTATTTTATTCTATCTTGACAAAATAAAACATAACAGTTTATTATTATATTTTTCATATTTTAGACTATTGTGCACAATAGATATTTTGCAGGGTAGTTGTTTCTTTTACTATTATTAATAGCTTAACATAATATTATGTGTAATATGCTTACTTAGGCAATAAGAAATATGTATTTTGTACAACAATAATTTAAGCTTAAACATTTAGATAATTATAAATTACAATTATACCTATTATAAATTTAAATGACATTTTGAATTGATCAGATTTGACAACATTTTAGTACCTACATCCGAAAAATATAATAAAACGTAACAACTAACTACCACGTGGGGTGGACCAGCCAATGGTGTCAAACTACATCATACGAGACATCATACCACTAGAGAATAACATTCTAGTTGCGTAAATATTATTTAAATTATATACCAATTAGACAATTAAAATAATTTTTAACTGAGTACCTACATAGACTTTAATGAGAAAATTACATACTACCTAAAATATTTAATTTTTATACCAATATCTTTATAAATTTAGTGTTCATCAATAATTATTTCAATAATGAAACCGAGGTGTAGACTGCTACTGCACCTGTGGTTTTATTTATATTTATTTTTAATTTCCAAATGACAATGAACATAATTATACAAATATATATTATATATATTATTCACTTATGTACCTATTCATAATTACTCACTTAAAACAGACAACATTTTAGGAAGGTAGTCAATTCATCTAAACAGTCTACGCCCCAAGAGACTTCTACAGTATTAAAATTTGAAACTTGTAACCCGATTCAAAATATATTAAGTTACTTGTACATACATATTTTCTTTAATTTGTATTCTATTATATTTTTATGCAATACTATTTCTACACCGATGCCAAGGGAAACAGCATATAAATGATCGAAAATATTATATTTTAAACTCCGGTTAGCATAATAGGTAGGCGAGTAGGTAGGTATTAACACATTTTATAACTATCATATTTTATGTGGTGTTTTTGATTTTGTACTACAAAGATACACATTTGGAAGATTTAATGAAGCTTAGGATAAGACACATGAAAAATAGATTATACATTATATACATGATATACTCACTTACACAAAATCATTTCAAAAGAGTTAGTTACTTGATAATTTCTTATCAGTGTTTTATAATAATGAAATTGTAACTCGGATTGTAACTAATAATGCAATCAATATTTAGTCTCATAATTGTATAATGTATATTACCTATATAATTTTAATAATTATTTTGATTGAAAAATATCCATTACACATACAACCATTAACACATGTGACCATGTTTAGAGTAATATTGCATGGTATTTCATGTAATTATGAAGCTGCAAAAATAAGTTTCTCCCATTCAAGCTACTTTTCCAAAATGTTTGATAGGTTTTTCTAGGTGCTATACGTTATACTAGTAAGCTGATGCAGTATTTTAAAGATAAACCTCGAGATAAACTATTTATCAATTTAAAGTTATGTATTTCTAATAATATTTTTTTAAATCTAACTTAACCTAACCTAAACTAGGTAACTTCCAAAGATTAGGTAATCTAATAAATAATCCATGAAACAGGTAAAAATTAATAAATAACACAATATGTTGTATACATTTAATCGAGCACTTAATATTTACATGGTAAAAATTGAAAATAATAATAATAAACAAAATAAATAGTTTTAATTTATCTATTAATTTTAAAACATAATAAGTAACTTAAGTATTAGTTTAACCAATTACTAATATATTTTTAGTTAATAGTAACCCATAAGTAATGATTTTCATTTTAAAAATTAAAAAAATATAAAGGTACCTAAGTTACCTAACASTATATTTGAATAATTGCCTTTAAAAATGTATAAAATATATGATGAAGTCCCAGATAAAGCAATGAAAGTATACTACCATGATCCAAAAGTATTATTCAACACACCACTGGTGGTTATTAATAATTAGACAACAACCTAAACAATAAAATTTCATTCCATTTCACAAAATAAACAAATTAATTTGGTGGATAAAAAAAAAAATAGAAATATGAAGTAGGTATCATTATTTTTTATGGAACAATTCAGTGTGATAAAATGTATTGATTCAAATGATGAATATTGTACCAACTATGTTATTCATAAGTTTAGCTGAACATAACTTGATATTAATTATAATAAATAAGCATGTTACAGTTAAAATACAATAACACCAAAACCAATTATAGTATTATCAATATGCTTGATAGGAACTAAAATTTAAAAAAAGTTAAAAAGTTAATGTAAGACCAAACAACTCTACCTATTTATTTTATTTGAATTAATTATAAGACATTAAACAAAAACTATGTTTATTTAACTACTATGTACTAACGCCCTACGTACAGAACTACATTTACAAATTATATTTTAAAGCGGTAATTTAAGAACAATATAGGTACAATGGTACACAAAAATTAAACTTTCCTACTAAATTTAAATTTCACTTTAAATGATAATAATAATAATAATCAAAAATATTAATAAATCACAAATATGGAATAATTAAGAAAGTAGATAGTAGGTATAATTAATCATCTTAAAATACAAAATAATGTACTAAGCATAATTCTAACTGTTTAAAAGGTAAGGTTTAAGAATAGTATAAGATCCAAACATACCAAAGAGTAATAGGTACACAATGTTTTTAAGACATGTTGATACCAAAATTCTGACCAACAACAGTTCTCAATGAGATAAATACTTGCTCGATACCCATTAAATTACAGAATTCAATACATAAATATATATTTTGTTCATTATTTCATATGAATGTATCTACCTACTTATTATTAAAATGTTTGCTAGGAATAATATTAGGTTCTAAAAAACGAATTGGTAAAAATATATCAAAATATATGATTTAATTTATTGGAGTCTTTGGGTCATCTGGGTCTCCGTGTTATAATTTTTTTTTCATTAATTTGGTATTTACTTTGATATTAAAAATCTGTATGTTATTTACAGTGCTATGAATTATCTGGTGGACTGATTGAATGGCAACTAGCCTACTATACTTTATGATTTGTAGTTACCTACTAATTATGTATATTTAATAAGCATTGAAGCAAACTCATGATTTTATGTTAGTCTCAGCAAAATATTGGGCTCAATATCCCTTAGTATGATCAAAATAAAAACACGAGTAAAAACATATCTAAATACCCAATATAGGTAATAGGTACATTATATTTATGTTGTACAATGTATAACATTATTCAACTCTCAAACCACCATACCTACTATTAGCCTAATTATTTTATTAATTATCATATTGAATGGTATTTACCTAATCATTTAAATTGTTTTTAGTCAGTATTTATATATTATATAGGTAGGCACTTATCTACCTCCAGGCAAATGTCTTTTGTTGATTAGACAAAAATAGAATGCAACAAATAGTTAAATGCTCGGCTAAATGAGAATCATGTTGCAAATAAGCAAATAATATTCTCACATTTTAATCTATGTGATATAATTTTTCTACACAATTAAAATCCACTTAAGCATAATGATCTTAATACTTGTCTTAATATATAACACAATAGGTTGGTGAAACACATTGAAGTAGCCAACAGGCATGATATGAGTATGATGTTTAATAAATTGACGGTTTATCTACAAGTTTCTTATTTTTCAAAGTACTCAAACTAGGCTTGATATGCGACTCGATTGGCTACAACTAGGTATACTAGAATAAATACTTGTCAATATTATATTATTTCTTATAATTATTCTTACAGACAATAGAAATCACTAATCAGACAAAAAAAAAAAATGTCCAATGAATTGAATGGATCTATTATATTATTTTAACTTACCTACAAAACATGTTGTAATAAAAAGAGCTAATTGTTAAATTGTTATCTATCTCAAGCCAGGCTGTTTAGGAAAATTTTCGAAATGGTATAGATAATTACAGAAATACGGAAACGGTTATCTATAAAACACTGTTTAAAACAAAGAAACCTTAAAAAGTACGTCTTTTGGTTAACACCATCATCAATTGCACTTCGTGATCCGATTCTGACGAGTTTGAGCATTTAACCTCTACACACCGGTCTATAACTGGATAATACGACAATAGTAATAAAGGGATCGCATTTAAAATGAGTAAAAATAATATTATTTCCGCATATTATATATTTTAATCCAGAAATTGAATGTAATCTCATGATACCTAGTTGTAACGCGTTATCATCTAAAATTTTGATGATAATAACAATAACAATATTATAACAACAACAATAACAAAAACAACAACAACAACAACGACTGTGCAGACTATGACAGCGTTTGTCCGCCGAAACAGACCAGGTATGTGGTTGGCTGATGGTGGTTGACACAAGTGAGTGAACTAAAATATAATACATAATATTATTATGTATCTATAAATGCTAAATAATTTCACGGATCGAACGTACAGTGAGAGGACGACGGCGTTGCCCAATAATGTAMGCACTACGCGACGAAACGATACGTCGATAATAATAATATTAATATTATGAGATAGGTACCCATTATACGATCGCCAGGCCGTGACCTCGTTGGTCGTACACGCGAGCCCTCGGGCCACCGGCGGCGGTTACTTACGTTACGAAGATGTTATTTTCTTTTATTTACTATAATATTCGTCTAGGTAATACTACCTAAACCTGTGCAATGTTATTGTTTTGTCACGGTTTTCGTTTTACCTTCGTTTCTCTTTGGGTTTTTTGTTTTCCATTGCGACGTTGGCGGGTCGCACGATGCGCCACTACTTTGTTCGGGGGCCGTCGTAGGCCGACGACCGCGACTACGGGACAAACTTTCACGCGAATACGCGATGGAAAATAATATGCGACGCAATCGGTCGGCGGCAAACGGTAATAGCAATATTAATCGATTGTTTCGGTCAATAATAATGATAGCGACGACTATAATAATAATGGTAAAATATGCAATATCGTCCGACACACTGAGCGTGCGATGGTTATCTGTCGATATTTCGTCGGGACTCGCGCGCGAGCGCGACACACTACGAACACAAACGTACGGCAATCGCGAGAGCACTGAACAGCGAGCTCTGCCGCTCTGGCCACTGTAGGCGGGCGGCGTCGACGGTAAAAGTTTCGGTCACCCTTCCCCCTTTCCGCGCGGCACACCCGCAGACCGTACCTTTAAACAGACCGAGCCTGAGCG